GGACTCAGTTGCACCTAGACTCCTCTCTGAGAAGGAGTTTAGAAAGCAAAGGAGTCCATTCTGGACCTTGTGACTCAATGGGAGGGTCTCCCTTATCCTTTTGCATCTCTGGTCTCTGTAAATCTTTTCTAACTCAATTCTCAATCAATTCTAACTCAATTTTCCTTTGTATATTTCTTCCACGTAGTAAGTAATAGAGTGAGCCTTGCCACTGAACTTTGTTAACTCGCACTTCTATAAATTCATATTAAAATCGCTTTTGCTAATACCTTTGGTGGTGATTCTTTAAGCAACCTAAACCACTCCATCTGCAACAAATTTGTGCAGTTGGCAGGATCCCACATCTGGATCTGCCACAGCAAGGCACATACGGGCAGAGTCTTGCTAGATTCCAAACCACCAATGGCTGTCCCAGGACCATATCAAATACTCTTAAAAGGGCTTCAGCTTCTTTATGTTCATGGACTGTGGGAAAATATCTGTGGCTTAATAGCTGGGGTGTACCTGAGAGTAAGGCCCCACTGAACCACAGAGTGATTCGCAAGGTGATGCACAAGTACACACAAGGCAGGACTCACCTACTTTTATAGAAAATTAAGGGAGAGAAAGTTCAATGGACACCTCCAGGTATCTGTCTCAGTATGGGATGAATATTACTCTTAGACTCTTTCCAATGATAATAGAAGAAACCTAGATGATTACCTTGGATAAAGCTAGTTAAATTTTAATGAACTTTAAAGATGGCAAACTTGTAGTTAACTGTGGTTATGTGAGCTTGAATCCCATTCCAAGAGCCTTTGCTCTGAACAGCTTAAAGGAACAGAGTATGAACTATGTCCATTCAGAGGAAGAAAAGCCAAAGCCTAGCAAGATAGCTTGCTCTAGTTCACAGGAAATACATATACGAGAACTTGGAAATAAATTTATGTCTATACCTTAACCATAGGATCGTCTTCCCTCTAAGACATGTCCCTCCACAAATTTGTATTGAGTATTGTTAGTTCAGTTTTGCATCACTTTAACCCAAATTATAGATTAACCAGGCCTTGTCTACCTTTGGAAATTTCGAAAGGTGTTAAGGGTTTGCAATGAGCTTCTGAACGATGTTCATGGAGGTGGAGACAGATTTCTGGCAGAGCTTTACTTTGAATTTTTACTTCACCACATCCTCAGATTTAAAATGAAACTGAATGTCCTTCTGGAGATTGAAAGCAAAGACTGTTCTCAAATAGACCATTAACACTGAGCTTTGTGCCTCTCTGGCTGTCACTGCTTTACTGTGGGAGAAGGGAAGATGCTTGTCGATGAGAATGCAGTGTCCTCTGGTCCCCTTACCAGAGGAATCGATAGTTTCTTTCATGAAGTCTCTTCAGCAGCTACAGAAAACACACTAATGACTAATTTTTGACGTCTCTTCTTGCAAGGCTCTTCCTTAACATGGTCAAAACATGATGACATTGCCAGTCTCTAGCTCAGGCTGTTCCAGTAGCTCAGTGCCAGCAAATGTCCCACAAACAGCCACCGCACACATGTAGATCCAGTCTGCCTATACAGGGCTCACGCTGGTTGATGTCAACAGCTACAGATCTCCTCTGGCTGGGAGGCTGATGAGCACCACGGCCATTTGTTTCTGGTGCTTTTCAGGACATGAGTCAAGGAGATGGTATTTTCACAAACCAGTGACAAAAGCAAAAGAAAAACCCAACCAAAACCAAAACAAAACTATTGTATGTGTTGAGCTGTGACATGCTGACCCCACCACAAAGAGTGACTTGGCTGGTTCAGCGGAGATGCCTGCTGCAGGAAGAACTCAATCATCCAGCTTGATTCAGCTGCATATGCAGACATGTCCACTGTTATTCGGTTGTTTCTGGGGGCTGGGGGATACACCACAGGTTGTAGGAGAGATTTATGTTTGGTGAAAACTCTCTGGGATATCCCAGCATGTCTCAGTCATGTTAGATAACAAAAGGTGAGCAGTTAAACAGCATTCGTCTGTCATAGACATCTGTCTAGTAAAGCAGCAAGACTGGAGAAGGAGCAGTTGGGTGGTGAGGACTCCTAAAACTTGAGCTGAAACAGGTGGTGCTGAAGGTCAGACCCTGATGTTTGCAGGTGCTATGCTACTGCAGCAGTACTGCAGGACCCCACAGGGCCTCCAAACAGAACTGGGCTTTCAGTGAATGAATAAAAAACCTGGAAAGCTCCATATACTATGTCAAACCCCAAACATTGTACGGAGAAGGAGTAAGAAAATTTAAAAAAGAAAGATGAAAAGACAAGATGGGTACGGAGGTGCCAGGTTTGGCCAAGGCAAAGGAGCATCGCTGTGAGTATCTGCGCTCCTGCTCATTTCTGCGTGGGTGTTTGGCTTTCAGCCCTCACTGGCTCCTATCTCTTAATCGCTGCCACCACAGGAAAATGCTTGCTGCTTACCACGTCACTCTTCACACACCACAGGCACAGCTGGGAGGGTTTTCAGGCTGTGGCATCGGTGAGACATACAGTACACACGTTCGTGGTGGCTCGTACCCACCTCTCCCTGTCTCCCTCCCCCCATCCTCAATGGGTTTCTCTGTTTTTGAAGCTGAACGCACCCTGCAGAGAGAGGCTGGCACTTCTCCTTGTGGTTTGCATCAAAAGCCTTACTGCCGTAAGCCTGACACTGTGTGCTCCAGCAGTTACTCAAATGTGCAACCTTACAAGTCGCTATTACATTTGGCTGCTTTAGTTACATGCTACAGGGCTGCTTTAGCCCTGTCTCTGGTCAAAGAGGTGTTAAACCCCATGGCTCTTCAGTTGCTTAACCACAAGAGGTGATTCAGCACCCTCCTTCCTTAGTCTACATTCTTGGGGTGTCCCTGCATTGGTGTCAAGCACAAACCACTGTGCCATTGCAAACAAAATGTCCCTAAAGGTCGTTTAGAGTGGGATATTGCCAAACTGTCTTCAAATTATTTGAAATGCAATCTCTAGCCTGGATCAGGCTATCCAGACTCCATCCATAGCCTGTGGACAGAGTCAGGCTCTCCCAAGACTTGGCAGATCCAGCCTTATTCAGGTGCTGAAGGGAGATGGCCTGAATCGCCCCCTAATCGTAACAACTTCTGCACAGCTGGCTCTGCAACCCCTTTGAGATACCAGACCCCATTTGTCACCTTCTGGTAGTGAAAAGTAACATTTTACTCTCTACTTGGATACCTTTTCAGAGCACCAAATCCTTGTTTTACATGCTGATCCATGGAGTAGTTACAGTTGTTCAAATGCTTGCTGATCCTGAGTGTGTATGAGTTGAAATTCCCCTGGGAAACATCCTCCAGAAAGCGCAGAGCCATTTCAATGGCTTTTCTAAGCACCTCTGTTCTTTGTCCCTATTTAATCACTTCAATGCCCATTTTCCAATTGTACACAACATTTTATTAAACTGTACAAACAGCACTGGCATTTAAAAAAATTCACGTCAAGTGTTCTAATTAAACACGATGACCGGCTGCACGAACCGTGAGCACAGATGCCCCCTGTGTTTCATACAGCACAAAAAGGGATTTTGGGAGAGTCACTGGACTGAAACTTTTTTCGGGTCACTCTGCTTTCTCGTCAACGTTAGGCACTTCTGCTCCTTGTCCTGCAGGATTCAGTGCCTGTGGAGTTCCAGCTGCATTCACTCTGCTGGGAGGTTCAAGCTGACAGCCTGGTCCAGCAGACCCAGAAAGGCACCTCTGAAGGGGATTCGGTTTTGGGATGAGTCACCCAACGTTCCTGCAACGAAGCCTCAAATGTATACACTTCAATTAGAGCCTAGCACCAACTGGGGTGACTGCCTAAGTCTAAGCTATTACAGAATCCTCTATTTGGGCTTTGACTTAATTTTGATCTGGTAATCTGGTTAGCGACAAGCACTAACTTGGTGGTTCTACATCTCCCCAACGTCAGAAAAGACTTCCTCTTTATTGAAAAGGATCCCGTGATGAAAGGATCACAGAAAAGATTTTTTTTTTTGACCAATGTACATTTCCACAGACTGCAAAGGCACAGAACACGCAGCAAAAATGTCATGAGGTGAAGGAGAGGACCACCCTCACCTGATGTGATCTCCTGCCCTGTGACCACTGGGTGCAGCTTGTTGCTCTATGTCTGCTATTCATGTCAAAGAGTTGGGACATCATTTACAGCAAGAAAAAGTATATCAGCCTTTGCAGGGGCTGATTTGCTGCCTTTCAAGTAAAATATGCCAATACTGTGACTGGAAGGTCAATTTTATGATGCTTACACAATGGTTTGAGGAAACCTCTTTTACAATTCACATGCAATTTTAGGATAAAACTTCAGAAGGCCCAGTGTAGATTTTGCTCTGAGCCTGGCATGTTTGAGGGCAGTTAAAGCTTTGAAATAGGGTCTCTTGAGGCTTTCTACTGAACTGCAACTTCCCATCCTTCCTGATCAAGTACCAAGTGCAAACCACTGGTTTTCTGTATTGATTTTGACACTTGCCATGGCAACAATCTTCCTTCAGGATTGAGTCATTAACTCCAGGGCCTCGACTGAGGTGTACAAATGCTGGAATGGGCACCTGCAAAGTCTCTTTGTCCTAGTGGAGGAAAATTGAATCCTAACACCTGTGAACATTACTTTTAAAGTGTGCAGGGAGTAAAATTGCTTCTTCAAAACTCCTGTGCACACATGTACAATTCTCCACATGTACAAGTGGAGATTACCACAGAAAGCAGCCTGAACTCTTCCTGGATGCCCTCAGGCCTTGAGCAAACCACTTGTCCTTCAGAAGGAGGTGGACGGAGATGAGAATTGCAGAAATGGGCACAAACGTCACCAGAAGGTTAAATATACTTGCTTTTTTTCTTACAGAGAAACCCATTGGCTGTGTGCACAAGTAGTGGGGAACAGGTTTTGTCACTTCCTCATTTTCAGATTCTCTCAACTTCAAGAACATTGGCAAAAAGAGAGAAGAGAGACAAAAAGATTCCACGATGAAACTTCATCCTTAGTGAAGAGTGGCTGGCATCTGCTACGGACTGGGATAAGCTGAGAGCCTCCAGGCATGGTACAAACTTTCACTGAGGCTTCTTTCTGGTGGGTTCTTGATAAAAACAACCATGCATAGTCTTCAGCTGATGAAGTGTTACTCAAACCATCACAGAGAATCCCCTAGTAAAGCAGACCTCAGGAAAATATTTTCTCCATTTTAGGGTTCACGAAAGAAAAGTTGCTGAACATATTTTGGTCCATGCTGTTGATCAGTGCTCTGTCGGCACAGGACAGTCTAGGTTTTTCATTTAGAAATTCCTTGTCGAAGTTGCTACAGTCACTCGGAGATTTCTTTAAGAAAAGGAAAAAAAATAATCATGTCAAACCGCTAATATCCAGATCTTCATTACAACGATACTGGCTCTATCAGGCTGCTTCCTCTGGGCTCAGTTCAACTAGCTGGGAGCAAGCTCAGCTCAGCCAGGGAATCTGCAACTTATTTGCTCTTGGCCTTTTGCACAATGACTGGTTACTCCAGCCCAAATGATGCACAGTAACATATCAAACTGCAGCGAACTTCTGTCTGAACTCTTAATATCCAGCCACCAGCACTAATCACTTGCTTATTACCATCCTATTGAAATACTAATAGGAATAAATATTATATAGGAGGCACTGAGCCTGTGATTCATTAAGTCTGCCAGGCAGGGATGCTACAGCTTTGTAACACAGTGGCCTGGACCCATCAATTAAGTAACACTTGTGAAGGACTGTAAAAAGGAAGTATGATGCACCTGTCAAATTAAATTATATTATTGCTATTAATAGGGCTTTAATAGTTTAATAGGACTGTTATTAATAGTCAGAACTATCCTGACTTAGCTGATTACCTGAACTGCTTTTCCTACTTTACCTTCTGTAATGCAGAGAAAGATAATCCCTACAGAATGGGTTGCACTTATGGGGATAAGGGAAGGTGTTTTCTGTAGCATCCAGATCCCTGCTATAGTATCTGAGAAAGTGATGGGTAATTTATGGTTTCTCAGGTGTGGGCATGCCAGTTCTGGGCTTATAGGCATCAGAAAGTAGCAGTCATGATGATCAGGTCAGGCAGCCCAGGCAATAGATGTTCATAGTTCGCAATTATCTTTCCAACGACTGTACAATGAGTGAGGCCGTGGTAGATCCAAATTGTAGATGGTTTCAGCTGCTTGTGTCTGATGTATACAACATACCAGGCAGCCTGTGAACAATTTAATCTTCATTTGGACACTTAAGTAAGAGTCAAGACTTTCCATTCTGACTACCCAAGACCAAGGCCCTCCATCTACTTTTAGACAGAGGGTCTGCGTGTACAGAGCAACTCCAAAAGATAATCTTGAAAGTTTGAGGGCATTTTGAAAGCCTTCACTGGGTGCCTAAAACTGTTAGTTCCAGTATGAAGGAGATATTTATCCACCTTTAAAATGCAAACATCATGAATCTAAAAAAGGATTTGAGGGCTCTGACATTAAAGATCCATGTCTGAAGGCTTTGGACAGTGCCCCTAAATAGATATGTTTATAATATTACTGTGGGTCCTGGCTTTAGTTTATTGCTAGCATGTGCTGGAGGGTTTAAATATTTGGGGAGTGAATGATTCAGGAGAGAGAGACATGAGATGGGTGGAAATGAAAGAAGGTGCATCCTTACCACTCTCGGTTTGAAAGGAGGCTCCATCCTTCTTTCTTCTAAAGCTTCCCAGTTTATTTCCCTGAAAAAGGCATGCTGGCGGATGTTCCCTCTTGCTCCCAGCCTCCTCTCAGGTTCTCTTACAAAAAGCTAGAAAGCAGAAGAAAGAGAAACACCTTCATCTTTTACCAGTACCAGTGTATTCATTAGGACAGTCCTACCAGATAGTGTCTCAGACTTCAAACTCAAGTATTTGACCTTCTGTAATTAATGGAGAAAAAGAGTCATTTTAGGTGCAAATCATCTGACCTTCTTTACACATCTGAAGATGAGATAAGACATCCTGGAAGTGCTTTCTTCTTTCCGCTGACTAGCTCAGGTGCTGACAACTGTCTACTTTTTCAAAAGACTCCTCATTCAGGCAGCTTGTGTTTGCTGCACACTGCAAGCTACAAGTCCTTCTTCTGCTTGGAAGACAGGGAAAAAGATGTTGTCCTGGGCAGCTGTCTCTAGGTGGCCCCGCTTGAGCAGGGGGTGGGACAAGATGACCTCCAGACACCCCTTCCAACCTCTACCAGTCTATGATTCTGTTTGTGATCCTATTTACCGTATGTGAACAGTCATTATCACAACTCAGGAAAAAGAAGACACAAAGATGGCCTTACAACTTAGGTCAGGTGTGCTCTGAGGTCCACAGACAAGGATGTGACTCTCTCTGGTCCTGTCACACTAAACTTGTTTCTCTGCAGAACAGCTGAAGATGCACGAATTAAATATGACGGTTCTGTCAAAAAGACTTTCATTCAGTATGTGTTGATTCTTACCTTCACCAAAATGTCCTTTGCATCCTTATCAAGCCAGCGAGGATAGAATGGGTTATCCATACGAATAGACTGGAAAAGCTCCTCTTCATCTTGGCCATGGAAAGGAGACTGGCCAATAAGCATCTCATACAGGAGGACGCCAAAGGACCACCAGTCAACAGAGGTGTTGTACTTCTGGCCCAGCAATATCTGTCCAAAGAGAGGAGTGACAAAGACAGATGCAAAATGTCTGATGCCAGTATTTCAGCTTCAGAAGGGCGGCCAGATCCTGACCTTTCAATAGCCACTTTGAACTGAGTGGCATAGCAGAGGTACTTTCCCTGCCTGAAGAATAAGCCAGAGCATCCGCCAGTGGTGCAGCGGGTGTGGTTGAGGGGGCTCTAGATGACAGCCACATCTGGGTGCCAAAACCGTTCTTTGCACTACAGACAACAAGTTCCATGTTTCTCTAGTTACTCTTAAGTTACTTGAACAAATCCTTGGCTACCAGAGAGAACTGAAACGAAAAACGTGAGGCAAGTCATCTTTTGCCTGCTCTCCAAGTTATCTCAAGGGTTCAAATCAGGCTTGTGAACTCCAAGAAGACAAATGGATAGGTATTAGCATTTTGGGACTAATTTAACTCACACAAGCTGTATATTAAAATTACAGGTTTGACAGTGCAAGGGTACTTCAGGACTATCAGTCAGTGGAGATGGTGTGAATCTATCTCAGCAAAATCTGCCCCAGAAAAAACATGAGAAATCAGTTGCTGAGCTGCCCTCTTGAGACCAACTGAGTTATCGGTAGAAGAATGGGAATTTGTCCTCAGTCAGTCCATTGGTTTGTACCTTTCTGTGTCAGCTAAAGTTAGGGCTACATCCAGTGTGTGGGAGCCAGGGAGGGCAGTCTGGAGTGATGATTTTCCCTAAGAAGGGATGTGGCATTTTCATAGAATCATAGAATCAGAAAATGGTTTAGGTTGGAAGGGACCTTAAAGATCATCTAGTCCAACCCCCCCTGCCGTGGCCAGGGATACCTCCCTACAAACCAGACCAGGCACTAGGGAAGTAAAATTAATCTAATTTGCCTTCATCTGTTATGGAGATACCTAGAGCTGAACCAGTTATCATTAGCTCCTTTTATCGTCAAGGAAGAGAATTAGTCCAGTTTTAGACACTCAGCTAAGTATCTGTTGCTGTAATATACAGCCTCCTATTTGTTTCCTTTGGTTATCAAGGAGCCTAGAGAACTTGCTCATACATAAGTATTTACATTGCTGATGTCTAAAGGTACATGTGATGCCTATGATGTCTAGCATCCTTATCAGGATTTTAGAGCTGGAGAGGGGAGCAGTTCATTTTAAGGCACAATCTTTACTCCCCTCAGTTCAAGAAGGACAGGGAACTGCTGGAGAGAGTCCAGCGTAGGGCTACAAAGATGATCAAGGGAGTGGAGCATCTCCCTTATGAGGAGCGGCTGAGGGAGCTGGGGCTCTTTAGTTTGCAGAAGAGGAGACTGAGGGGAGACCTCATTCATGGTTATAAATATTGAAAGGGTGAGTGTCACGAGGATGGAGCCAGGCTCTTCTCGGTGACAAACAATGATAGGACAAGGGGTAATGGACACAAGCTGGAACACAGGAGGTTCCACTTCAATTGGAGAAGAAATTTCTTCTCAGTGAGGGTGACAGAGCCCTGGCCCAGGCTGCCCAGAGAGGTTGTGGAGCCTCCTTCTCTGCAGACATTCAAAACCCGCCTGGACGCCTTCCTGTGTAACCTCATCTGGGTGTTCCTGCTCCGGCAGGGGGATTGGACTGGATGAGCTTTTGAGGTCCCTTCCAATCCCTAACGGTCTGTGATTCTGTGTGATTCTGTGATTTGAGCCCACAGCCTCATTGCACAAGTGATCTCCTACACTATAGACACAGTGTAGGTATCTATGACAAGCCATAGAGATGGCTTAAAACCAATGAAAACAACTATCCAGATTAGTGCATATGAAACTGCTGATAGTTGAAAAATTACAATTTAGAGAGGTGATCTTTACTGCTGGCTTTGAGGCACAGTGGGAGTAGGTGAGTAGTTTCTTCACTGTTTTCATGCCTTGTCTGCATTGCTTGTAAATTGCCACCTGGGCCCAGATTAATCTTATTGACTAAAAATTATGTGTGGTATTAATTGGGTTATCCAGAGTCTCTTTATGGTCAATGGAGGTAAAATGGTGTTAACTGATTTACACACCTAAGGTAGGAAGGCATGACTTGTCTTCAGGGATGCTTTTCCTTCTACACTATAAAATCTAATCTAATGCTTCCTTTACAGATGCATTTTCTCATATTTGGTGAGAAGTATCTCCCTTTGACATATCTGTAGCATCTAGCAAAGCTGGACCTTAATATCAGAATTCTAAACCTAAGCTGATGCAGAGTGCTCACAATTAACACACCAATCTCAAAAAAAAAAACCCAAAAGAGATGCAAAAAGGACAAAAAACCTGTTTGAATATAAGATACAATATATACGATGTGTTTCACTCAGAGCCAAATGAAGAAATGGCATCAGCAAGACTCCTTGATATATTTCTTCTTGGTCATTTATAAACAAAATAATCCCAAACTTTCTTTCTGAAAAAGGCAAAATATTTTTGTATGGCTTTACCCTTTAAAGCATAGAACATCTGTAAATTGAAATTAAATGTTTTATGGCAGTAAAAAAAAACCACGGTTTATTGGCCTTGCAACTCTCTGGAAAAACCAAATAGACTCAGAAATTTAATTTCAGGTTAAGTTTTGGGGTTTTTTTTTGGTCAAATGTGTTTTGAAATAAAAAATTGCTTGTCTGCTGACTCAAAGTCCCTTTCTTTGCAGAGCTGTAGCCAAGGCGCTGGCTCTGTAACAAATTACAGCGCTAGCAGCTGCATTGAAATACTGACAAAAGGTCCAGTGCTCCAGCCTCTGGCAGGAGAGATGATCCATAAACTCTAGCAGTGCTTTCAATTTAGAGGTAAAATGTTTTATATGCACTCATTGAATCTCTAAAATAAATGATGGCGCAGAAATAAGACTCTGAGCTATTTTAGTCTTTCTCTTTTCTATGAAGTAAAATCACAGATAATGGATTATTGCTCTGCTCTCTTTTATTTTAGGCTCAGAAAATAGCTATTTTTAAAAAATAAAAGCATATTGAAGTGGAATAAAAGACAATTGTAGCTTGGTTGCAGAGTACACTTACACTCACTCTTAGGCAATACAAATCCAATTGATTTGAAGAGACCAACCCTTGTGTCAGCAGTGCTGTAATCTAGATCAGAATCAAGCCCTTGGTGCTTAGTAAAAGTTCAATGAATTATAGTGGAGGATAAAAAAACCCAACCAAAACCAAAAGCTTTAAAAGCCATTTGGAAAGTACCGATATCCACCATGAAAACACTAAAATTAGGAAGTGGGATCTTGAAAGACAAATAAATGGCTTGTGGAGTGACATCGGACATGATGCATGTACAACTCCTAAGTTCTTCTCTCAGCTGAAAAATGTTTTCTTTGGCCTCACTTTGCCACCTAATTAATCAAAGCTTTTCCATGGTGAGCTCTATTGTAGTGTAAAGTCACCAGGTTAAGGGAGCTTGATTTTTCTGGAGGCACCTAGTCCAAAATATCTAAATTTACTAGGGGAAAAAAGTGAACAAGTTTCTGCCTGGGAAAAAGTGGAAAGAAATAAGGGGAAGGGCAAAGGATCTCTCTCATGACCACTCTCATGTTTATATCTCCAAGCATCTCCATCCCTTTCACAAGCAGCTATTGGTTGTTTTCTATCTAGACAGACCTTGTAACCTGTGCTCGGTTTTATAGTTATGATGCTGATGGCAGAGCCTTTTCAGAGCATATAGTGCCTTATTTATCTCTGGGAGGATGCTGGTGATGCAGGCTGCGTGTGCAGCCAGCTAAGAACCTCTCTGAGCAAGAGAGAGGTCCAAGCTTATCGGTGCCATTCCTATTCAAGTATCAGAGCATATCCCAGAGGGAAGGTGAACCCCAATCTCTGCATTATCATGGATCCAGCCTCTCTTCTCTATCTAAAAGGTTGTTAATCAATGAGGAGGGAGAGTCAGCTCCAGGTGGGCGTTTTGTCCCACCTTTCTCTATTTCTGTTTTAGGTTGTGATGAACATCAAGTCTTCGGACTGCCCATAGCTCCTTACCAGCTATCAAGGAGCCTGTATAGACATGGAAGCCTACTGTTTTCTAGCTAGGGAACATGCTTCCCATTCTTCGTGTTGTTTCTGTCTCTGTACTGCAGGATCTATCTCTTGCAGCTTCATCTGGCATGGCCCAAACTGAGTTTCCATTAACCATTCTGTTTTTTGGTTGAATCAAGCACCACTTGATTCCCAGGTCCATTTTCAGAAAAAATGAATTAGCTACAAAAATACGCAGTGCCAAGCAGCAACACAGACTCTGACTGAGTCAAACTGAAGTTCAGTTTCTAGCCCGGAACTGCTCAAAAGTAAGTTATTACTCTTGGCACCCTCCAACGCTGACTGATGGTCATGTCTTGAGACGCATTCTGTGTCCCACAGCAGCTTGATGACCTCCCTGGACCCCACACTTACCTCAGGAGCGATATAGTCAGGAGTCCCACAGAAAGTACTTGTCTTCGCGTCTCCAAACATGTTCTCCTTGCACATCCCAAAGTCAGCAATTTTGATGTGCCCCTCATTGTCCAAGAGGACGTTGTCTAGCTTCAAGTCTCTGTGGAGGAAGAGAAGGAAACCCCTCATTTAAAGTGTTACAGAGCCACACAAGTTATTTTAACAGGTTACACTTACTAATCTGCTATCTGCCTCTATGTGGTGTCTACGTGTTGCAATTACAAAGGGAGGCTGAGGGCCAAATATGGAGCTTCTCTCTTGAACTTCAATATCCCTATTTCTCATTCCTCCTGTCCCAGCATTGATTCATTAGCTGGAGAAGACTTTACATGAAACATCTTCGAAAAGGTGCCTCCTTCAAGGATGCAGAACAGTGAAGCTAAAAAAGGCTTTACATCGGCTGGTGCTTCTGTCCTAACACAGCCTGGAGAAGGTGAACAAGAAGGGACAAACTAGTGCCCTCTTTCTCCTTCCCTAGGAGTTTCAGTGCTCTCTCTGAAGCTGCTGCCAGCTCTCCCTTCCAGTGCAGGTTCTACAAATGTTGGAAGAGGTAAGGACCCTCAAGTCCTGCATGGCTTGAAGAGGGTCAGAATAACCCCAGACATCAGCAGGACCTCCCATCACCTTTTCTCTGCTGGGCTGCACTACGTGAGCCCAGGGGATTTAAAAAGCTCCCCTCACACAGCTGCCAAGCTGTTGTCAGAGGCTTCTGGCTCTGAGCTACTGTGGGAAGCAAAGAGGCCACAGAGGCAAAAAAAAAAAAGAAGAAGAAATGCACAGAGAATGAAATAAAAGCAAGTGAGCTGATGAATCATGGCCATTGACAAAGCCCAAAGAGATCCTCACATGGGAAAAACCTCTGAAAGGAGAGAAAAGCATGTAAAGAAAGAAAGGAAAAGGCAGACAGAAAGGAAGGCTGACATGGTGTCTATGTTAATTTTTTTAATATCTTACCTAAAAGTTTTGCTTTTCATTGAAATAATGACTCAGGGAGATGTTTGCATCTGTGAAGCTGCACTTCACCTGGGATGTAGGTAGAATTTGGATTACCTGGTCTCGGAACAACCATGTTCCTGCACTGCCTAGCCCATGCTATCAGTCACTGCTCCTTTTCAGGGCTCACAGAGCACCCAGACACAACATTTGCTTGTGCCCACAGCTGAGCATACAATTGGCCTTTTCCAACCTCTGCTGCTTCACAGCTTACACTCATTTTCCACAACTCAGGCAAGAGTCCTAAACGTGAGGCTGCTATATAGCTATCCTGGTGACAAGTGTTTTACAATGTGGGGTTTTTTCTTTTTTTCAGAAATGGCTTTTACTCCCTCAGAGAAGGTAATCTCTAACGCATGATACTCCCGAGATGATAACCTACAATTGCAGCGAAGATGGCTGTTCAGCCTCCCTCTGTGCAAAGCTCCTCATCTTTCTCTGTCCAGAGAAAAAAATCAGGGTGGGGGACTTCATAGTATCTACACACTAAATTGTTGCCACGAGGTGATTGTTCATTGCTGCTAGAATATGGCCTGAGGAAAAGTGGGAGTCATCAATCAAAAATAAATATAGACACAACCAAGACATTTGCCTTCCAAGTGGCAGACACTCACGTTGTCACAATTTCCAGCTGGAATGGCTTATTTTAGTTACACCATTCAGATCAATCTCTGGCTGCTAGCACTGCTTTTATTCATCTGGTAGATCGAAGCAAAACAAAAAACCCATCACCTACAGTTTGCTTCCATTATTTTGATGAGTCTCAAACTCATTGGCTCCAGGGATTGGAGTTCCTGCCAAAAACTCCTCGCCTCATTCATTAAAATTTAAGCCAACATTTCCAAACGTGGGTGCATGAGAATGAACAGCTGGATTCATTATCCTCCCTGCATTGCAAGTGATGTAGTTTCAAAAATGATTTCTGTTCACTTTCCTAAGTGCTTGGTTAGCTCTGACTGAGATGCTGATGGCTGCGTGTTCGCAACTGACCTCGCTGTCATTGTCTTCAATGAAAAAAAGGAAAGAGGAGTAGGACTGATTAAATGTTTTCTCTCAAAGCCTGATACACAATGCAAAGCCACACTGACTCCTGGGAACTGACTATTTCTTCCTATCCCTCTGCTACCCAATGTCTAGCTGTTCCAATTTGCCCACATTTTGCAAGGCTCCAGACTCTGAACATCTCTCTCCTTTCATGAGGAAACACATCCCGAACCCTGACACACCACTGGTGTAGCAATTCCAAATAAAAATGTGAATTATAAACAAAACGTCAGCATTAACAGCCCTGCACAAACTCACAATGTCCTGTGGATATTTTTACTTAACTTTTCTGAGAAGTCTGAGTAAAAATGACAGACATGGCTAAGCGATTTGGGCGCTTCAGAAAATGTTTCCCTTCAGTCATCCAGAACAATAATTAGAGTCAGAAACTTGCTGAGACCCCAGAGATCATCTTAGCTTAATGGTATTGATATTGAGCTCATGTTTATGCAATCACCATCATTGGTCAATAAAGACTATAAATGGCTCCCACATGAGTACTAATAATGAATAATAAGCTGAGTTTATATGAATCAAAGCTTGCATTTTAATGGCAGAGTGGATTGCAAACACGCCATTCATTTTTAGTATTTGTTCTGATGTTCACACTACATGACAAACATTGAAATAAGTTCATTTTGGTCCCAGCAAACATAGTTGATCTAATGATCTTTCTCATTTGTTTGTAACGAGGTTTTTGCTTCCTACTTTCACAGAAGGCTGCAATGTAATAACTAACTTTTGTCATGAAGATGATCTGGGCTGGGGCTCCCCAGAAATTCAGTTCCTCCTTTCAGCCATGGCAAAGCAGACTGCGGCCTGATTTCTGCAGCCCTTCTTGCTCCTATCTTGTCTCTGCCCTTTTATATAGGCCCGAAGCACAACACTCATGGCTTAGATCAAAGCATCCATGCATAACTTTGAAGCTTCTAGGGAAGTCAAGCAGAAGCTGGACTGGGCAGTTTTGTAGTAGAGGACTTCTCCTCTTTGGCATTTGATAGATTGATGCATTGCGGACTACACTCATACCAGTAACTTTGGAAGAGGACTCTTCTGTCTAAGCACATCTACTTAGTGTCTCACCTAGTCCCCATCAGCTCCCTGTAAAGCCCACTGGTAGAAATGGACACTTCTCATACTCTAACACAGGTTTGATGAACCTAAAAAAGCCTAATTGTCTCTGCTTACTACAAGAAGAGCTTGGGCAGCTGGCTCAGTTCATGATGGTAGGTGAAATTAATCCCATCTCCCCACAGAACTGTGCACAGTAGACCCCTTAGTAACCCAAAAATTAAGGTATATCACTGTATCAATGCTGTTGTTACTTGAGTTGAGCTTGTCACCACCGCCCAGCACAGCAGATACACAGAATTTCTCATGGTTAGCTTGACCTTATGTACCTTCATAGGTGGAAAGTTTAAACTGGGTGCCTATGCTGGGTGCTGTATGAATGACTCTGCGCAAATGCATTAAGGGGCTTGTTTTAATGTTAACTGAAATTGGACTGGATTCTCAAAAAGGCCTCTAAACTGCCTCTTCTACACTATCTCTTCAAAACAAAACAGCCAGGAAATCTGCAATACCAGTAATTACAGCCAAGTAACAGTCTCTCAGTTACCATTAGTGCTTGCAGGGAAAGCAGAAAAGATTTAGCATATTAGACACTAAAGAATGACATTACCTGTAGATTATGCCCTTGGAATGGAGGAACTGGAGCCCGCATATGATTTCAGCAGCATAAAACCTGAGTGACAGAAAGCATAGGTTAGAATGGATGCTACCCAACAGGTGGTTTCAACCAGACCCAAAAAAGATGGAAACTTTGCCTCCACAGGAGCCAAAATTTCATTAAGTTCCCAGAAGGCCTGGAGTGTCTCCAGAAGGCTTGGGGTTACTGCGTTTTAATGGATGATGCAAGATTCTGAAAGCATGCCACATGACTAGCAGCCCAACTCCTACTGAAATCACTTGGTGAAGTGGCAGGGATTTGGACCCTAATCATCTTCAGGGATTTGGAAGCCACTCTGCACAGCTAGCTGTATTTTTTGTATATGCAACTGACTCTGAGGATATGTCCTTCAGTGCCCAAGGATGTCTCCAACCCAGCTGTGGAGCAGAAAACCCAGCTCCTAATGCCCATTCTGCCTCATCTCAAGGTATGGTGGTTCCTGTCTCAAGGAAGGCCGAGTGGGAGGTGTTTGTGCCTCTCCTTTGTTTACATATTTAAAGTAAATCAATGAATTACAGTGATGCACCAGAGTGCAAACTGCAAATTAGAGTTAATGCCTCAAACCTTAAAAGAGCAGCTGTAAATTGCCATGTTCAGTATCTACTGCACAAACAGCGGAGTGGTCCCAGCAATGGGGCAGGCAGGCGGGCATCTGGGTTTGGGGACTGCAGACATCTCCTTGACTTGTCAAACAAACCTCTTCAGTGCTCATATTTAGGACTTGCTTTTGAAATTTTATCCAAGACATGGAGCTAGCAGCTTGGTGGCCTTTCTCTGGGGTCTATTTAAGTTTGAGATCTTTGTTCTCAGTACAGTTCTGCCTAAAGGACAAGACCACATCCTGCTGCAAAGAGGCAGAGTGAGGCTGAAGCTCCATTGCACAATGAAAGTGCTCTCCCAGAAGGGAATGTAGCCCCTCCAGCGTTGTACAGCTCTGTTCCCTCACTCTTCGACACACTGGCCTTTAATTCTGAACATTCAAATACTGTTGAAAAAATAATCAAACTAAACATTGATTTAAATGAGGGTTGGGGTTTTTTTAATTATTAAATAAAAATTAATTCCTATAATTGCTTCAATATTGACTTTCAAAATAACTCTTGCTTGCAGAATGATTAAAAGCACCTTTCATTTATTCTAATTCTTCTATTTACTTTAATCAAAGTGAAATAATTTTTTTAACTCCCTGGTGGTATATTAATTTTTTATTTAAATTTACCTTTTGCACTTCTGATAGGTTTTATCTTTTTTTTATTTTTTAATCCTCTTGGACCTTAGAGGGAAAAAGGGAAAATCCCATTACCTCTAACAAACAACAGCTTCACCTCTGATCACTGGACTGGGAACCTCAGCTTAAGCAGGTTCTGCAACCCGTGCTGTAAAGAATAAGACATTTGGTTCCACAGATGGCTGAAAATGCATCTGTGGGATTTTTTTGTCGGTGGTAAATCTAGGGTGGAGGTTGGGTCCACAATGTTATTATTGGGGTCTCCAATGATGGGATGAGCAAGAACTCGGTGCGATAAAGAGCAACCCCAGAGCTGATGTTATTCACAGCAGACACCTATACATTGCTTTAAAATGACCCTCATGCATGGGCCACGTAAATAAGATCTTAGACTTGCTTGGGGTTGTTTATAGACAGTGGAGACACTTCCAGAGGTAAGATCTCAGATGTATTGAATGATCCCTCTAGAGCCTCTCTCTGTTTGAGGAACCAGTCTTTGGGAGGGGACTGACCCAGCCTAAGGAAGAGCTTCCATCCAGCTCAGCTCTTGGGTCTGAACAAATGTCTGTGGGACTATGCTGAGGTTAGCACTAAATATGGAAGCTGAGTTACAGGCTGGAAGGAGGCTCCTGGTTTGCAGGCTTAAGGACAAGCCTACAGGCAGATGTGATGCTGCCAAGGGTGTAGCAGCATCTGCAACCCTTCCAGACAGAAATAGCTTTCCTGGTTGACCATGAGTGCAAAGCAAGGTCATGTCTGACTGAGATGAGTGGATGGGATCTAAAAAGCCTTCTGTGGGAGGGGAAAGAGGGCAGGGAGAGGAAGTGACTTGCTCCAAGTCCATCATTGAGTCAGGGTGATGACCTGCACATCTGTTTAGTTTGCAGAGAGCTGCGGTAAGTTAGTTTGCAGTTGGGTAAAGTGCAGAAAGGTCAAATGATTTGCTCAAGGTTTCCTCTACAGGACACAAACAGAGCTGGGTATAAAATCAAGATCCCTGGTGTCTGCAGCTGCTGCCTTTACTTCTACCATGTGTGCGACCTGCAAGCCAAAAGGTAATAATAAGAACATCTTACGTTGCTCTGGGAAGGTCAAACTTATGACAGCTCTGGATATGGAACATGAGGTCTCCTCCGTTGAGGTATTCCATCACAAAAAAGAGGTTTTCCTAGAGAATGAGACAAGATGTCAATAAGGAATGGGGAAGGACAAAGTAAAAGTTAAAAAGAAAAAAAACCTCACCCAGAAAGAGGAAGGAAAATATTACAGCAAGGGTTTTGGAAAGAAAGTAGTTTCTTTTTCAGATTCCTCATTTCTATTCTTTGTTCTTTAAGCCTGTACTCACCCTCTCTGCTCTGATTTGTATGAACAGCACTAGCAAACACTACAAATCCACTGAGTAACCAGCTGGTGTCATTGATTTTTACAAGCAGACCTCAAAGCTCACTAGAAGGAGATGAGTGACTCCACAGTGCCTGTGTAACAGCAGGACAGATGGACAGCCTTCCTGGAGGACTAGTAGAAGAGGCAGAAATAAATCTCAGGTCTCCTCTGGTCCCCAGTCCAGCAGATTATCCACCCAGTGGAGCGGTCTCAAGCTGGTGTTACCCACGTTCCTGCACGTCTTTTGGGGAGGCACATGGCTCTGGCTTTTTCAGGTTATCAGAGACACTAATCAGATGCTGCAACCTGTTTTAAGCACACGCTTGATTTTAAGCCTGGGAGCTGCTCTGTTAATTAAGGCAGGATGTAAATTGCTAGTGGGAAGATTCGGAATTAGTCATATTTCTAGATGCCCATTGAGTGCTTGCATGTCAGAGAAGACTGGACAAAGTCCTTGTCCCCAGTTCCACAGAACCACAGAACCACAGAACATTAGGGATTGGAAGGAACCTCAAAAGCTCATCCAGTCCAATCCCCCTGCCGGAGCAGGAACACCCAGATGAGGTGACACAGGAAGGCGTCCAGGCGGGTTTTGAATGTCTGCAGAGAAGGAGACTCCACAACCTCTCTGGGCAGCCTGGGCCAGGGCTCTGTCACCCTCACTGAGAAGAAGTTTCTTCTCCAATTGAAGTGGAACCTCCTGTGTTCCAGCTTGTGTCCGTTACCCCTTGTCCTATCATTGTTTGTCACCGAGAAGAGCCTGGCTCCATCCTCGTGACACTCACCCTTTAAATATTGATAAACATGAATGAGGTCTCCCCTCATGCAACCATCAGCTGCTCTACCAGGGCAGTGGAAAACTCTCCTCCTGATACATGGGAAGGATGGGAGGATTCTTTGACTTGAATAAAGAACAGATCAGATCATCAAGGTTTCCTTTCCAGTCCTTGATGTACACCACATTGATCCCCTCACTGCTTCATGAGTCACAACTTCACCACCAGGCCCCCACAGAAGCTGGAGGCTGATTCAGACCAATCCCTTCGACGTTGAATTGCACCTGAAAAGGAGAAGTATTTTTCTGGAAAACAGAGTATCTGTGCAATGAGTTATGCTCCCAGTTTAAACTTCTATTTCAGGAATCTAAGCTTCTGTGCATAAACGTATGGATAAAATAAAATGGATGTAGTAGTTATTTTTTCTCAAAAGCCTATCTCTGCTCTGTACACACCTGAAGTTAGTCATCTCCAGGCTATGTTAAAGTTTATGAGTATCTTCCCTTGTCGCATATTGCCCATATTTATTTTTTTTTTTGTGTGGGGAAATGGAGTTCTTTTCACTTATCTTTTTAACCCTCAAGTGGAGATTTTTATCCATAAAATCCAGTGTAAGCATCTCTGGCAGCAAACCAAGATCTGGCTATTTAAAAACACAAAAGTGTTTATTTGTTTCAAATAACAGCTGTCTGCTCTAATTTGTGCAATTTCTTTGGCCAGATCCTTTTAATTACAGTACTCTTATTTAAATGGACGTCTGGCTGGAAACCCCACCTGCTATCCAACAAGCAGAGGGCCAGATCTGACCTCCCAGGGAAAGAATACAAATTTTGCCAATAAACCAAATTAGTGCAGGTTTTCAGTTTGAAGGTCTTGCATCTGTAGAGGCCTCTGCACATAAGTCAGCTTAAGCAAGTAAGAAGGCCAAATGGAGACAGGCAATTTAGTATAGGAATGCGTAAATCTCGGAAGCAATGTGAGCTCAGGAGCCTGTTCAAGAAAACACTTGAACAGATGCTCTTTGTCAATGTAGACAGGGCTGTGATGAGGTTTAGGTAACAACAGACCAGCAGCTGCGTGTACCACACTGTGGCAGAAGAAACCTTTTGTGTCTTCAAACAGGCCAGACTCAGTTTTAATGAACACTGAAGTTTGTGGTCTTCAAGGTGCTAACAGAGTGGTACATAAATGTTGTTGAAAAGAAAGGTGGCATTACTCTGAGTTTTCTGCTCTGAGACTTGGAAGTTACCCTTGTGTCTTACAAAGGTCAGTTGTCTGGAACAGCCCACTGAGAAAAATTGCTTGAGATTAGCCTTAAGTGCATCATTATGAGTAGCAAGATGTAACCAAGGAGTGCAAGCTGCAGCGAATTATTGGAGACAGCTTCCTAAGCCTGAGATCTACAGAGCCATAGAACATGTTAAAACTGGGAAGTGGCAAAACCCCTGCTTGAAACTACCAAAACTTCAACCCTGTACTGAAGGTTAAAAGGTTAGAAAGTCATGGAGGACACGTTTGCAGACAGGCTCTGACCTACACATCCTCCTGTCCTGGGAAAGTTACCTGATGGCTCCTGTCTGCTACTGCCAGGCTGTGAAGTCTGACAGCACCTGGAGCAGGCAAGAGTGGGTTAAGCGGCTGTTTCCCAAGATGTAGCAGCTGGGATGGCATGACTTTACCATGCTCTTATTCCCTGTGATGGCCCTAGCTCAGGGATGCTGAGCAAATATAAAGGAAAGCTATTCCTCAGTGATGAGACCTACACAGCTCTGAAGGAGCCTTGAGAAGAGCTCCTCACCTTCACCCTATTCATCTGCCCCATGACAGCATCGTCAGGTAGCAAACACTCAAGTCAAACTTCTGGTCACAGTTCCAGACTGGCACAACAGAACAAGTCTGGTCCCTTAGCGGAGTTTGGGGACATCCTTTGCATCCACAGAGCTCAGGGGGGGACTGTAAAGGCATTTCCTGCACTCAGCAATGGACACTGCCCCATGACATTGTACAACACACAGTTAGACTCAATCCTATCAGGTGCTGAAAGACTTGACTACTTCAAGAACTCAATTGTTTGCCTCATCAGTCCCTCAGTGCCTGTGCTGAGCCGAGCTTCTCTGCAGAGCCACCTGCTCCCTCTGCCTCTCCAGGACATGGCAGGGATGGAGTTAAACCAACCTGTTCCTGCTCTGCATGCAACCGCTGTGAGAATGAATAGTCACTATCAGGGATGCTTTCAACTTTATAAACAATGAGGATAAAGCAGGCAGCATTTAAATTGATCTTTTTTGAAGGTACATCCTATAACAGGCTCTTAAAATCCCCAAACCAGCTGGAAGCCATCCAGAGCACTTTTCTACAAAGATTTTCAGATTTTGTTTTCTTTGCATTTGAAAGCACTTGCATACATACAAATACACAATTTAACACCATTTACTGAAGAGAAAAAAGTCTTCTTCCCAGGGGTTCCAGCAAGATGAATATCAGAATAATTAATGTTGCAGGACAGCGTGGCTTTACTCTTATTTAGAGCAGTTGCCTCAGCAAATGGCTCCATATGGAGAGGGCTTCTGGACATGCGTTAAGTGACCTAACCCCACTGCTTGTCCATTGAATTAGGTTGGCCCCTGTCAAAGGAAGGGTGTGACACGGTGCAATTCCTGCAGCTGGTTCCTGTCTCATGTTTTAATGCAGCTGAGCCCAGCCCAGTCTGGGTGCTCATCCATGCTTTGGATATGTTTTATTTCATAGGACAGATGGGAGCCAAAGGCCCTTCAGCCCTTCTCCACCACATCACCCACTGAATGTTGCAGTCCCAGCACAGCATCCCATTCAGTGGGAAAGGAAGCAACACACAAACCCCTCATTGTGTCTACTCCCACGAGAAACAGCTAACGCAGGGTCACTCCTTGCTGGTAAATGACCATAGGAGGTATTGACATTGCTGTTTGCATCATCTGGGGACTAGAAAAGCCAAAGTGTTAAAGATTAAAGTAGCCCCAGGTTCAATTTTGTTCTCTGCTTAAATAGAATTTTTTTAAATCTTTCTTGTGTAATATCAGTCTGTCTTCTGGAGGTGGCAGCATTTCTTACAGCTGTCAGATAATTCAGTCCGATCCCTAATCTCATGATTTATTGCTTGTTCTAATCTTTGCATTGTCAGCATTTTTGGCTGCATGTTAAATATTTGGGATGCTTAGCTTTGTGTGCCCATCTACTTGGTACAAAGCATATGAATACATTTATACGCGCATATATAAAAATATGTATCTCTACATAAAGGTGCAGACATAGTTGGCAATAGCTCTTTTCACTTGAAGTCTGGGATCCCAGGACCCTTCCTCACAGCTCACAGAAGGCAGAGTACATTTCTCACAGTGGTAAACCGAGTTACTACCAGCCCTGTTGTGTGAGAGAAAATGGCTTTTCCTATCAGTATTGGATGGGATCTTGGAAAGAGGCTAATTTTCTCAAGGCTGGATAAGGACTTTTGTGAAAATTTAGAGATTAACAGGAAGGCAATTAGAATATGTATATTTAATATGCCAATCATTGATCACTTAAAAAACACCCTTGTGAGCTGGGTCCCTCTTCTCCTTGCCAATACCCTCCACCTGTTCACACCACATGGGCTGACACCACCTCGAAGTGTCTTGTAAAGACTTTGTACTTTTGATGTTGTAATTACAGCTGCTCACACCTTCTCTGGCAGAACCCTGTTGAAATCCCGAAGCTCTGCTGTGATGCTGCTATTTCTACTGAACCACACTGAAATTTGGGCCAGGATTGAGTGAGACCTTGCCAGTTTTCCTGCCTCCTGCTTGAAAGAGACAAAATCCTCAAAGCCTCCCAATTCTTCCCTAACTTTCCCATCAGCTGGTTCAAATTGGGCCAACAAGCCTTGAATCAGATGTTTCCAAGCTCTCTTATCCCTAGGAGACCTAGAAACCCTGTAGCTTCAAGATCGTGTCTCCCAAGTGGCTGAACACCAAGGCATGGGATGGTTTGTAAGATGTTTTTGTTGTTTTCTGCCAATGTAAGAGATTT